TCAGACTCTGGCTGGCTGGAGAGGCATGAGGGACAGACTTCACTGGAGTCATTCAGCGCTCAAACGACCTCAGAGTTTTGTATGAAAGTCTTAGCTAGAGAGAAAGTAATTGGATTCAGGTGTTCTCTCTCTGACCTATTCCAGTAATTGGGTTAGTCTAAACATTTGCACTGTGCGATTTAGATTCTCTGTGTAGAGGGGGACCCTGCTGGTGGGGAACCTTATACCACACTAGAGCCTATCCTACACAGGGTGCAAAACCAATGAGCAATTGAGAGAACAGTTTGGCTAAAATTGCTAATTAATTTTAACTACCAGGTGCTCCTTGGTAATTTGAGATTTAAAGTCACAGCCCAGGACGATCATTTAATTAAAACACTGGCAACACCTAGGATCTCACATTTGGGGTTCTACCCACTTCAGTGCAGAAAAGATAATGCTTGCTAGTGGGATCCCTCCTAGCCCGGCTTTTCATTATTAGATATTTAGGGAGGCAATGGGGAGAATCTGTGTGGTGGTGATTGATAAACTTCTAGACCAGAAAATCCTTTTGCTATCTTTGCATTGAAGGCCTCCTGTGAAATGGAGAATGAGGCTTTATCCCTAGGATGGGAGCACATGGCCCATGTGGCCTGCAAAAAGTATGACCTTCTTTGAAGTGCTGGGTTTTATCTTTAACATTTGATTGAGCACTTTGGGAGGTGGAGGTGGTTGGATCACCTGAGGTCAGGAGTTCAAGACCAGCCTGGTCAGCCCATCGCTACTAAAAAATACAAAAATTAGCCAGGCATTGTGGTGCATGCCTGTAGTCCCAGCTACATAGGAGGCTGAGGCATGAGAATAGCTTGAACCTGGTAGGCAGAGGTTGCAGTCAGCTGAGATGGCACCACTGCACTCCAGCCTCAGCGACAGAGCGAGACTCCATCTCAAAAAAATAAATAACATTTACCTTTCTCTTCTGGTCTAGGTAAGTTTTTAAGTTTAATATAAAAATATTTCCATCATTTACCATTGATTAAAATGGATATTCAATGTTCTAAAAAGACACAGTATTTCTCTATATGGCTTTATGTACCCCTTAGGTGAGGCCATCAAGTCCCAGGATTACAGGTATCCCATGTAGCAGCACAAGACGCAGGACTTCAGTGCCTCTCCACCACCACCGAGGCGAGGGGCACCGATGCCAGGAGCAGCCCTTGGCATGCTGATAGGTCCCATTTGCGTCTTCAGCACACACGCTTTAGGCACTCACACTTGGAGGTAGGTAGGTAGAGACAGGGGGAGCTCCACAGAGGAGAAGAACTACGCTTTGGGACCTGGCCAGTGACCACAGTTCCTGGACTAAAGCAGCTTGAGGACAGAGACCTTGTCTTTCTCATCTTTAGATCCTCAGCACTCAACCTCATGCAGGAAACAAATTGTAAAAGCTTGGTAAAAGACTGTTAGACGGAGGAAGTCTGTGCATTTTGCATTTATTCAAAGACCCTTCTGAAATCATTGCTTGGAGGGCCAGGAATCACATATGGCATGAAAAAAGGTGAGGATCTGCCATGAAAAATTCTCATTTTAATCCATAGTCATTTGGTCACTTGCTATTAGAATAAGGGAGAAAAACTGTTCCTTAAACTTTTAGCTATGTGCAGACTCTTGCGTTGGTTTTCTGGAGTCTTTTGAAGGCCTCATTAATGTGGACTCTGTTTGGAAATCTGTGTTTTCTATTTTTATAGAAGGTTTGCTAAGCAAATGAACATATGAAAGATTTGAAAGCCAGATTTTAGATGGATTCACTAACATTTTAGGCAGTTTAGCATTCATTTGCATGTCAGTAATAAGTGAGTTACAGGTGAGTTCTGACTACTAGCAGTGAGGACTGGGGATGTCCATTGTCTCTCTCCCCAGGTCTGGTCAGGGAGGGCGGCCTTTCACAGATCTCCTGTTGCCCTGTTTCCCTCCAGTCTTCACTGTCCAAGCTGCTCCTGCCTGTCTGCCCTCATCCCCAGCTGCAGCCACACTGGAGCTTTACTGTGCCAGTGCCCTCTGTGAAATGTCCTCACGCTTGCCCAAGGGCTAACCTTCTTTAGGGCCACGCCTTGCTTGAAGAAGATTCTTGCCAGTCATTGCATGTCAGGTCTTACTTGGATGCTACTGTCTCTACCGCTCTTAGATACAATATAGCCTACATTATTCCTTTTTGTTTGTTTTTAGAGAGTCTTGCTGTCACCCAGGCTGGAGTACAGTGGCGCAATTATGGCTCACTGCAGCCTTGACCTCCTGGGCTCAAGTGATCCTCCTGCCCTAGCCTCCTGAGTAGCTAGGACTACAGGTGCCCACCACTATACCCAGCTAATTATTTTTATTTTTTGCAGAGATGAGGTTTCACTCTGTTGCCCAAGCCAGTCTCAAACTTCTGGCCTCAAGCTGTCCACCCACCTTGACATCCCAAAGCACTGGGATTACAGGCATGAGCCACCATGACTGTCCTGTTAAAAAAATCTAGATGATCACTTTCCTTAACTAAATCGTAAGCACTTTGATGACAGGAATTCTATCACATACTCAGGTATCAAAACTGTTTCTCCTTTGAGGGGGTCCAGGATGCAGTGACCATGTCTATGTTGCTCCCTGTAGGATCCTCAACATTGTTGTATCCAAAGTGGGATTTTGGATCTTTTTTCTTCAATTTGTTTTCCTCAATTGAGGTCAGTCTGCAAAAATATGTAGCAGCCACCGTGAGTATCTAGGACCTTGTGCTATGTGATCTCTCTGCAGCTGTGCTTTGGTTTGTGGCTTCAGCAGCCCAGCCCACATCATCCCTCCTCCCCTCGCCCTAGTGGGAGTGAATGATCACCAGTGACCCGTCACCTATGTGTGCCGTCTTCTGAAAAATGAGGTTTCCTCCTCTCTTACAGTTGCATAGTCCTTGAAATGGGCTCCTTCCTTGGTGGGAAGACATGGCTACGTCTGAAGGACTGACACAGGGGAGATGAGTGTAGTCAATGATAGGTCACTGCAGCTGCACGGCAGAAAACTGGTTACAGAGGGGGAAGCACTTTGGGTTTCTAAGCTAGTCATCTCTGAAATGGAATATTTTTTTAACGATCTTTTGCCCATTGCTCTGTGATGGGAAATTGATGAATATAAGCTAACATTAAGACACATGAAGTGTTTATGCAGAGTATAGGAAGGTAGAGACTGCCCTTTTTCTCCTCCAGCAGTCGTGGTAAGCAGCCCAGGCATACTACTTAAGCATTTGTTACCAAGGTCCATGTAGAAAAAGAATAGCATATCATTCTGTCCTTCCATAGCTTATACTAAGGTGGTTCCTGCCTTCATAAAGCTCAGAAACTAGTGACTGTGACTCTGCCCACCCACCCACCAATATCTTAAGCAAACACTCTATGACACCTTGTTGTCAAATGTAGTATGCTTCTTGTGGTAGCTTTCATCTAGGTCTTATATGGCTTCTGTATCGCTAGGTGGCCTTAGGTCATGATACAGTTTAATGCTCTCACTTGATTTGTAATGCTTGGACGTGTCTCATGAAGTATTTTAAATATATTGATGCCTTCTACTATATACAGCAGAGGTAAGCAAACCCAGCCTGCTACCCACATTTGTAAAGAAAGTTTTATTGAAACATGGACATACCCATTTATTTATTTACTGTCTGTTTGGGGGTTATAACAGAGTAGTTGAATAGTTGTTACAGTGACCGGGTGGCCCACAAAGCTGAAAATATTTACAGAAAAAAATGTTTCCGACCCCCATGGTGTATACAAAGCAGCAGTTACCCACCATTCTGAGTGTGTGTGTTTGGGGGAGAGGGGCTTGATTTGTTTTAGAAAGACCATTAAATGTATCCTTACAAGATGAAACTGGTCCAGGTGAGAATGACACCAGACATGTGGAATGAGTCAGTTTTCTTCCCCTGGTCTCAGGATAAGCTTTTCTTACTGTTCATTCCTGCCTCTCTGTACAGAACTGATATATGCAGCATGCTCTTTGGGAGAAAGGCATATGTGGGCAGAAGGAAGTGAGGTGGGAGGAGGAGTTGTCCCATTCTGTTAACCAGTAGTGAGAAATACTGTTTACAGGCATAAGCTATAGACATCAGAAGGATGGAGATGGACGGGGGAGGAAACTGAATGGGCCTTTCTTAAACTAGTTGCCAGCACTCATCAACCATTTCAGGCTGGAAGGAAAAGGAAGCAAGAGGAGTAGTTTCCGTAAGCCCACAAATGAGGACCTTGACGGACGGAGGAGCCGATTTCCCATTTCAGCCTCTTAATGATCCCTCAGCCACGCAAACGCATACGTGCACATGTAGCTGTTAAGTGCCAGAACACTTGGGACCTTAAAATTCACCTCACTTCGAGTGTTTGCAAAAGGTTTTCCCAGTATAATGCATTTTAAAATACACAGCATAATATGAGGTTCCTGGAGCAGTCAAATTCATGGAGACAGAAAATAGAACGATGGCTGCCAGAAGCTGGAGGGAATGGGGTTAGTGTTTAATGGGGATGGAATTTCATTTGGGGAAGATAAAAAAAATAGTTCTGGAGACAGATGATGGTGATGGTTGCACAGCAGTGTGAATGTACTTAATGCTGCTAAACTGTATGTTTAAAATGGCAAATTTTATTTTATGCATATTTTACCACAATTTTTAAAAAACAGCTCATCAGCCATGTAATTTGCAAAGATCAGAGCAGCAGTGGCAGTATTCAGATTTGGAGATTAGGACTCTTGTTTGGAACCTATGTTTTCCTTACATTTAAATTTAAAGCGACTTCCTCTTAGAATTAAGAGTTTCATTTGTATGCAATTAAAAAGATAGATAGCTACTGAACAATTAAAATACACAGCACACTAGTTCTGCAATAGACAGAGGTAACCTAATGACAGTTAGGTTAGGAAACATGGCATGGTAAGCTGGCCTTTGTTGTTTTTACCTCTAGAAGTGACTCAGTCTCTCTCTCTTTTTTAAATGTGGATTCTAGGAAAGAAATCTTGACTGGTTCCCCAGGATGAGAGCCATGTCATTGGTCAGCAGTGATTCTGAAGGAGAACAGAATGAGCTGAGGAACCTACAGGAGAAGCTGGAGTCCACCATGAAACTTGTCACGAACCTGTCCGGCCAACTGTCAGAATTAAAGGATCAGGTAAAGAAAGGAAATCCCAGTCCCTATCCCCCGCTTCACTATCATCACAGCATATCTGATGAGGGAAAATCAGTAGTGCTTATGTTACAATGTTGACGGGCCTCACCTAGATGGAAAAGGGAATCGGGCTGCAGAGGACAAACCCACTCACTCCTTCAGTCTCCTCTACCCAACCGCTTTCACTGCCCTTTTGCAAGGTAAGGTCACGGTGCTACTTTCAGTGCTGCTCAGGACATGGTTTTAATGTGAAAAACAAAAGCAAAAAAATGGGAAAATACTGACTACTTCAGTGAAGTCCTGTCCAAAAACCACTATGCATAAAGCTGTACTTTTTTACTTTATGCACTGGTGGAAGATTAAAAGCTATTTTTTCCTAGCCCTCAGACTTGTCAAATCTTCACCCCAGATATTTAAATTCAGCATCCTGGACTAAACCATAGTCACGGAAAAGCCCTTTTGGTTTCATTCCTTTCTCAGTGGCTTATTGAGTGACTATCATAGTACAAGAATTGTATCAGGTGCTGGGAATAAAACAGTGAACAATACAGACATACTCCTGATCTCTCAGGGCTTAACCGTCTACAGAAATACTGCCCGCATCCTGCTTCCTATCCGCAACCTAAGTGCTTTGCCTTTATCATATGGATAGGAAACAGGATGTGGGTGGTATTGCGGGCAGAATTTAAATGGGAAACAGGGTGTTTCCCATTTAAAATAAGTTGTAGGGGACATATTTATACCAAATCCTTTGTGCTCTTTTTCCCACCCTTTTGACTCCATTGAAATGAACATGCCACAGTCACCAGGTGGTTACCTAGTGATAGAGTGCAGCTGTGTGCTAAGGACTTGTACCCTGGGTGGTGAGCAGACTCTGATTGGTTTTATTAGTGCTTTTCCGTAAGTGACTGGGATAATCATCTTCCAGTCAGCATTGTATATGAGTTTTCGAAAGCTCTTTAATCAACTCCATAGACAAGATTATAATGTTGCACAGCAATAGGCGTGGGCCATGTCTGCACTGGAGGTAAGTTGCAAGGTATACCCACAGGTGATTTTTCCCTCTTATAAATACTGTAACTAATGAAGACCACATCTAGAATACTCTTACTGGAGATGCTTTACAGAGCATCTTTAATAATCATACTTTGAATTATGTTAATATTTCTTTTCAAACTAAACTATTCCAAACTGTGCCCTAAGATACCATTTGGCCTCAAGTTTTCTTTTGTCTGTATTAAGATGCAAATAAAAAAGACTAATAAGAAAAGAAGGCCCTATTTATGAAGGCTGTCTATAGCTCTCAGCTTGGTAGTGACATAAAATGAGTAATAACCTAAATAAGTAAAACAAACGAAGATCTAACTAACTAGATTACTTTGCTTAATACTAATGTTTTACCCCCACTGTGGGACACCTGGCAAGTGTTCTGCAGGCCTAAACTGACTCAGGAGGACACTGGTGGCGACAGCTGCTCTGGCACCCCCCCACAACCCCCCATCGAGGTGAACTTCTTTGCGCATCCTGCAAGCTTTAGTTATCTTCTTCTCCCATTTGAGATGTTTAAATTAGGTGCCAAAAAATCTTACACTGAGCTAATACTTAAATAGAAGAACAGTTCAGTTCTCCATAAAATCTGGTGCCATTTTCCAAAGAAGCAGAGGATCTTTGTTGCACGCGCATGGGACTGGAATTGCAACAGTGAGGCATTCTAGCTTTCACGTGCCAACGCAACGGGCATTCATTCCTGCTGACTCATTACTGCTTCTCATTGTCACACTTGGAAGCCTTTGGGGGGCATGTTTCAGCTGATCTGAGAAACTGGGTATTACCAATTTACTAGAGAGTTTCTTAAAATGTATCTGAAACTATTAATGGGCATTCTCTGGTGGCAAAACCAAGCAACACCTCCCTATACTACCTGTCCTTTCAGAGCTAAGAATGTTGTTTTGTTCACATAGAGTGATTCTGAATCTGCTTCAGTGCACACCTTGCAAACTAGTGAGCCTAGTCAAAGGAGTGATTTGAGCTGAGGAATTAGAGTGAAGAATACAGGTATAGGGGAGTACCTGAGGCTTCAGATGTCATCTCACCTCATTCCCTTATTTTTTTGAGGAGGATACCAAAGGAGTCCAGAAGGCTTTTAGGCATGGCCAGGGCAGGAGCTCCTGATCACCCAGTCTGGGTGTGTGTGTGTGTTTTCATTTGCTTTGTTTTGTTATGTGCTGTACTGTTTGCCTTTCATGGTTGACTGTTTAAATTCTTACTCTTAAAAAAAAAAAAAAAAAAAAAACTTACAGTTTCAGAAGTCACGTTGCATCATACGCTTAAATGGTATGGAGGATCCATTCATTGTCATTTTATACAACTGAGAACAGTAGAGACTTGGCATTTCTAAAATCCAATATAAGATTATTTTGGTTAAGCCAAAGTTTTAGTTTAAACAAAATATGTAAAATTTGATTACATATGGACTAAGGTTCATTAAGTGACATTAAAACCAGTATGGTTTACACTGCTTGATTCCAGCCTTTTATGCATTTTTTATTTTGAAGTTGGCAGTTGGAACCACTCTTTAGAAAGCCCTTCCCCTGTGAATGAATTTGAAATTGAACTGTTTTTTTCTTGGAATATATTATAAGTTAAAAAGAAGCACGAGAAATCAGTAGTGCATTCTCAAGTGCTTTTACCAGGATTGAGCTACTCAAGTTTTAAGGTATCCAGAATTACAGGAAAAATTCTGCATAGCTCTTTTTTTTTTTTTTTTTTGAGGGGGCAGAAGGATTTACATCTTTCGAAAGGAACTAGCCACTGGGTTTTTTGGTTATGGAACTTCCTATGAACCTTTAATGCATTTGAGAATCAACTTGTTGAACAGATTGGAATTTTTTTAAGATTGGTTATAGCAATCATAAAGGTTTAAAACCCCTTTATGTGCAAAACATATTAAAAAGTCATGCAGATATGTGAGAGAGCTGCTCTTTCTTAAATAGTAATTGTGAGAATTCTTGCTTTCTGGGGAAAAATCTTTTGAATTAAAAAATAAAAGCCCCATGAATGACTAGTGAACAAGAAACCTTGTGATATTTTTTAAAACAGCTATGAAAGAATACCATTCACTAGTAAAAGTGCTAGAAAACACAAGAATTGCTCCATTACTTAGTTTTTTGGGTTTTTTTTTTTTTTTTAGCTTTTATGATTCAAAAATTAGCAGAATGGAGCAATGACAGCTTAAATGTAGATGACTTTGGTCTTAATCTTTACTGTTATTTTCTACTTTAGTTCTTTTATTAATCTACCAATTTGAGGGAAAAAAGTTCTTGTGAGGATATTAGTAAAATTATGGTTAGTGGTGTCACTTCTATTATTGCCAAGAATGGTTGGTTAGGATTGCTATGATGCATCTCATCTTGAAGTGTCCCCTCCCAAGAGATTCTGAATACTAAATGTGATTCTTTCACATTCTTATTCCAAGGAGGAGAACTAATGTAAGAACTTAAAATGTTTTTTGCATGTTTTCTTCATAATGAGAAAGAGCAAATCCTAAGAAGGGCTAACTTTCTTGAAAATGTGACTGGCTTCCTATAGGACGGCGACCATTGTTTTTTGTTGCTAGGAATAGAAGAAGTGCTTGAAAATTCAGATTAGCATGTTATAGCATTTGGCATTCTTCATGCAAGAGGGTTATCTTGCTAACATTAACTGCTTAAGGACAGAAGGAATAACAAAAGATTAGAATAACTGCCCAAAGTTGGAAAATGGAATATTAAACAACCCTTCCTGCATCTGTGTTCCTTACATTATGCTGGGACCACAATAGAGGACTAAGTCAACAACTGCCCTCTAGATCCAGGAACTAGCAAGAAGGACAAAGAAGTAGACCTCTAGCAATCTGATACAGTATGAATGACTTGAGGCATGAATAGTTTCATGGAGCACAAAGAAGTAGGTAGGTAGTGGTCCTGTGTGAGGTTTGAAGTGAAGAATGAGTTTAGCTTCTGTAATAAAGCAGGTAACTTCTGAGCCGGCAGAGAAATGCAGTAGAGGGCTTCCCAGGAAGGGAATCATCATGAGCAACGGCATGAAAATTGCATGGCATGCTCAAAGAATGGCAGTATGTTCTGTTTAATTCCGTTCCTTCTTTTAGCCCCCATGTATGAAACACCTGTTTGCCAGGTGCAGCATTAGGTACTGGGGCTACAAAGATGAATAGATCCTATTCTCTGCCTTCAAGAACTCAAAGTCTAGAGTGGGAGACAAGTAAGCAGATAAATTATAATTAAACATGGTGAGTGTGTAACCAAGCTATGAACACATCGCTCTGGGAATGAAGGGAGTGATTTGTTCATCTGATCTTCAGGAGAGGATTAGAGTAATTACCACAGAAGTCTTCTCAGAAGTGGTAATGTAGGAGCTTGGTTTCAAAGCATCAGAAAGAGATGGCCAGGTAAGAGAGAGGAACAGAGCATTAGGGATCGACTCTAAGAATCTAAATGGTATCTCTACATTAATGTTAAATCAACATAATTGTATTCAAGGGATGCTTTAGTTTCATTTCTCAGTATTTGAGGCTCGTCATTCTGAGCATGACTTATTTTATAAGGCTGTAGAAAGTAATTGTGATTATTTGAGTTTCCTGGCTGTTTAGAATCTGTATAACCAAGACCTTACTGTCACATGAAAGCAGCTTTTCAAAGACTATTAAGATGTGTTATAAACCAGAAATGTGGCATTTGTGTGCTGTCAATGAACTTTCCTTCCTGTGCCAGCCTTTAATCATTTAGAGGCCAGACCAGCAGATTAAAATTTGCTTATTTCTACTGTATGCTTCGTGTTTTCATGAAACAATCTTTCAGATGTTTGGCTGCATCTGACTTGTAAAGCTACACTATTCTTTGCTTCTTGTCTAGATGACTCAAAAGGAGGAATGCTGAAATTCAAGCTAGTTTCTACATTCATATAGATGTGAAGAACAGCATTGCTGTAACTGTTTATCCTTAAATACATGGGAATTTTGAGATTCGGGGTTTTGTTTTTGTTTTGAGACTGATTCTCCCTGTGTCACCCAGGCTGGAGTGCAGTGGCACGATCTTGGCTCACTACAGCCTCCGCCTCCCAGGTTTAAGCGATTCTCCTGCTTCAGGCTGAGTAGCTAGGATTACAGGCATGTGCCACCACACCCAGCTAATTTTTAAATTTTTAATATAGACACAGTTTTGCCATGTTGGCCAGGCTGTCGAACTCCTGGCCTCAAATTATCTGCCCCACAAGGTGCCGAGATTACAGGCGTGAGCCACTGTGCCCAGCCATTTTGAGGATTTTTAAATGTACTATAAATGAGACATCTTACACTACTCAAAATAGATGTTTCAGTATTCGAATTTTGAATACAGTTACCTTAGATTGATTTTTTTTTTTTAATCAAGAGTCAGTTTTGTTTCAGATGTCGAGAGAGACTATTTGACAAAAATGCTAAGGATAGACTTTGGTCATTATATTTGTTTTGATATAGGTAAGAGTAACAGACAAGAATGATGCCTTCTAACAAGATATACAGATAGCATATGTGAATGTATGTAGGTGGGGCAGGTGTTTACGTAGATAGGTAGAACTAAACTAATAAAACCAGAAATTATGTGAGAATATGAACTAAGAGGCTGGGGAAACCTAAGGGGCAAGAAATGTTGTCCTCAGTTTCTTATAGGTCAGATTTAGTTCTGGGGGGTTTTGAGGGATTGTTTTTCAGTTCTCTTATAATTGTCATTGGATGATGCCTGCTACTAAAAGACCCAACACTTGAGCAGTTGCCTAATTCCTTCTCATTTAGCAGTCACTTAAGTGGCAGCGATGTTGACTTAAATAACAACCATTCTGTCTAAAAGGCCATGGTTAATCAAAACATCAGTCAAATGTGTGCCTAGTATGCTCAGTTGCAGATAATCTTATCCAAGAGCTTCCCTCTTTTGAGAAAAAAAAAATATATATGTACACAAATTATTTTTTAAAAAGTGTTCGAGTACTTACCCAGTGATCTTGGCCAGTTTTGGAGATGATCGGTGAAAAACCTCTTCTAGAGCAGTGGTTCTCAAAGTGTAGTCCCCAGACGGGCCACATCGACATCATCTGTGAAATCGTTAGTGATGCAGATTGATGGGAGCTACCCCAGACCTATTGAGTCAGAAACTCTGTTTCTGATCTGTATTTGAACAAACTTCTGGGTGATTCTGGTGCATGCTTAATTTTAAGAGCCATTCTTCTAGGGAAACAGAAAAGAACATTAGATGTATAGCTGGTACTTAAAATGATCAGCAATATGACTACCTGAGCAAAGAATTGGCCACTAACCACATCAGTAGGAGCCTTAAGGTTAGGGAGGAAGGGTGGGTAAGGGGATCACTATCTTAAAAAGACAAATGAATAGGGCTGCTAACTGAGGTATCAGGTCACGGCTGTGGAAGTGATAAGGAAGCCAGGCCACCAACTGAAGACTCTGCTATAAAGTTTCAGAGCCATCTTCAAGTTTAAGAGAAAGACTAACTGACAAATTGAAAAGTCAAGGAGAGCTGATTTAACAAACAGGGATGAAAATATGCATACATAAAAAGTCATCTCAAATACAAGTAGTTATTTAAAGCAAAATTACAGGGGAGAAAAAAGTCTTAATGGCCAACTTTGACATTCAACTTTGAGTTGAAAGATTTCAGTAGCTTTAAGCTTTAAGTAAAAGTATCCTTCAGTAAAGGTTGAGCACACCAAAAAAAATTTTTTTTTTTTTTTTCCAAAACAAGATCTCAGTTGCCCAGGCTGGAGTGCAGTGGCATCACCACTGCTCACTGCAGCCTCCGCCTCCGCCTCCCAGGCTCAAGTGATCCTCCCACTCAGCTTCCCAAGCAGCTGGGACTACAGGCGCGCACCACCATGCCTAGCTATTTTTTTTTTTTCCTTCGGTAGAGATGGGGTTTTGCTTTGTTGCCCAGGCTGGTCTTGAACTCCTGGGCTCTAGCAGCCTGCCCACCTCAGCCTCCTGAAGTGCTGGGATTACAGGCGTGAGTCCACCACACCTGGCTGAGCACACTGAGATTTCTAAATCACTTTGAACACTTCAGATTATCCAAATTTAGCTAAGTTGTAGTGGATTCCCTCTTAAAGTTACCTGCCAAGGGAAGGGTTGTGGGAGAAAAATCTGAACTAAACATCTGAACTATCAGGAAGTAAGATAAATGAATTACTGGAATTTTAACCTAATTGTGAATTTATTTCATGTGTCATATTAGGTTCTCCTTCCTCAGCTGAATCTATGGGTACAGTGTAGTGTGCAACACTTCCTCTAAAGATGTCACTCACTTAAGAAAACTTCAGAGGCTGGCTGGAATTTCCTAATGCAGTTCTTTATAAAAAAGCTTTATTGGGGCCAGGCACAGTGGCTCATGCTTGTAATCCCAGTACTTTGGGAAGCCAAGGTGGGCAGAACACCTGAGGTCTGTAGTTCGAGACCAGCCTGACCAACATGGAGAAACCGTGTCTCCACTAAAAATACAAAATTAGCTGGGCATGGTGGCACATGCCTGTAATTCCAACTATCACAGGTGCATGCCCGTAATTCCTCCTGAGGCAGGAGAGTCGCTTGAACCCAGGAGGCTGAGGTTGTGTTGAGCCAAGATCGTGCCATTGCACTCCATCCTGGTGAACGAGAGCAAAACTCTGTCTCAAAAAAAAAAAAAAAAAAGCTTTATTGACCAGGTGCAGTGGCTCACGCCTGTAATCCCAGCACTCTGGGAGGCCAAGGCAGGCGAATCACAAGGTCAGGAGATCAAGACCATCCTGGCTAACGCAATGAAACCCTGTCTCTACTAAAAATACAAAAAATTATAATGGCATGGTGGCATGCGCCTGTAATCCCAGCTATGCGGGAGACTGAGGAAGGAAAATTGCTTGAACCCAGGAGATGGAGGTTGCAGTGAGCCGAAATCATGCCACTGCACGCCAACCTTGGCGACAGAACGAGACTCCTACTCAAAAAAAAAAAAAAAAAAAAAAAAAAAAAAGACCTGTATTAAAAGCTACCTTTTGGAAATATTCAGTCCTTGTAAATCTTCTCATCTAAATTATAACAGAGAAAGCATTTCCACAGGACCCTAAAAATAGTATTTTGATTTGAGAGGATAATGCTAGTTATGAAGAAGAAAAAATAACCACATTAAAATTGTACCTAGGTAAATTAGTCTTGTTTTATGTTCTCTCCAGATATTTTGTACCAAAAATTAGTTCAAGTGAAAAGTGAGATTAAAGCATCTACTATGTGACAGATGCTGTGCTAGGAAATTTACATATAGCCTCTCGATTCTCCTCCAATGAGCTAGGAAGTATCATCCTGATTGTATGGATGAAAAAACAGACTTTGATAAGTAAAATGACAAAACCATTAGAAAGTAGGTCTGATTTCAAAGCCTTTATTCTTTTTACCCTAATTTCTCTACAATTTTAGGAAGCTAAAAACATAGGAGTAGGACCTTAAGGCACTTGTAAACAACAATTTTATCTAACATATATATTTCGTTATAGCCTTTTTATCTCGGTTGACTTGAATCCTCAGCCTTAAATCCAAAACTAAGACTAACTGGGTTAAGAAAAGTCTTAATGTAGAGGCAGAATTAAGTATGCCCTGAAATACCTAGAACAGATCTAGAGACCCATCAACAGGATCATATATTTACTTCAGCAACCAAATGAATAGAATCAACCTCTTGTTTGGGGTTTTGAAAGCACTTTTTCATTTTAACTAGTCTTAGGCAATGGTCTCTCTCAGTATCTACTGGGAGGGGTGGGGGCAAGAAATAGATACCATGAATGGCCACAGCATTATTTACAGCATTTAATCATTCTGGACCTCAGAGAGATTTAAGAACAGTTCTCCTTTTCCTAGTTGTGCTAGGTAATTTTTTCTCTCTCGCCAACTACTCAAGAGTCATTGAAGAGAAAAATCAGGACCCACTCAAAAAAGAGTATGGACATAAACCGCCCTGCCTGTCAAACCTAGGATTCTAAACACTGCTTTTCTTGATAGTGTGGCATGTTGTTACTATCGTACAAAGCCACCATTTTCCAATGAGTCTTCAAATCATTTGGAAATGGATTTGGGAAACAACAAAGAATCCTGTGCTTTCATTGTTTTTTGGCTTCTTTAATACTTCTGAATGTTACATTGCATGACGAGGCCACAGAATTTCCAATTCTGCCTAAGAAGATGCCCTTTTTGAAGTGCTGTGTGTTTGATATAGTGATGGTACACTATTTGTAGAAAGTGGGTTTCAGTATAAACCATAACCACAGAGGTAAATCTATGGTTCAGTATGCGATTTGACGTGCAGGAAGTATCTGGGTCTAATGATGAAACTTTTTAACTTTCCAGATGACAGAACAAAGGAAGCAGAAACAAAGAATTGGTCTTCTAGGACATCCTCCTCACATGAATGTCAACCCACAACAACCAGCATAAGCAAATGAAAGAAAGGAATTGTATTTACCTTTTATAATTATTATTAGTGTGGGTATGGCTAATGAGTTCTGATTCACCCATGAAGGTTACATTTATGCTGAATACATTTGTAAATACTCAGTTTTATACTGTATGTATATGATTGCTACTCTAAAGGTTTGGATATATGTATTGTAATTAGAATTGTTGGCATGATGACATTTCATTTGTGCCAAAAATATTAAAAATGCCTTTTGTGGAAGGACTAACAGAAAGCACCTGATTTGCACTTGAACCAGATTATAGATTTAAAAGTATGACATGTATTTTGTATTTAAAACTAGAATAGACAGTATTTATGTTTTTTATAAAACTGTGCAATACGAATTATGCAATCACAATAAATTTGTAACTCCCGAGTGTTCTAAAGGGAGTGCACAACTTTGAAGCTGGTGTGTTAATACTATGTAATAAATGGTTAAATATCAAATGATGCTGCTGCCAAAATTATATTAATAGTGAGTTTGAAGCCCCTGGGCATTTTGTACCATGTAATTATCCTATGGTGATGCTGTTTCTCGTTGTTAGTGGCAGTAGTGCCTCCGTCTCATAGTGATAATGCTCCAAGTCTATGAACTGTTAAATCAGCATTCATTTTAAGAAAAGCAACTTTAGTTTCAAAGATACTTTTAAGCTTCTAAAATGATCATTTAAACTATTTCTTTAAATAAGAGAGCCAAATTAGAGGCTCATACTTTAGCTTGTGAAGAAGATAATGAGTTTTTTAAAGGGAACTTTTTATGCAGTGTTCAGGATAAATGCATACTGCTGGCCAATCGGTGTCATCTCTTGGGTAAATTCTGATGTCACGTTGTTAAGAGATGAATAATTGATGGTTTCTAGATTATCTAGTCCAAACAATAGAGGTTTTTTTTTGCTTCATCTGAACCAACATGCTACAGTAGCTAAGAAGTATTAAAACTATATACATCCATATAAAGGTGAAATACGAACTGTCTCATTAGAAGTCATAGTTGAACATGGACATGGTATTCTTCTGAAAGAGCCACATTTTGGTTTTATTTCTTTGTCACACGATTTCTTTTCTTGATGGATGAAAAGTATGAAAGGAAACTTTTATATCTGTTGCCTAGTTTTGTACATGGATCTCATTTTACAAGAGAATCTCTCTGCAAAAAAAGTTTAAAAATGCATTGAAAGCAGAGTTCTGAACTGAGTAAAGTTTGTAAATGCATATATAAAAATATTTAATAAACAATGCAGAATAATATACGGTGACTGGCTGGTGGCTTTCATTTGGCATTTGTGCCTTAACTGCTATTCCAATTACATACTTTCTTTAGGATTGGTCTGAAGTACAATTGGTTTAACAGGTTAATTCAGAAAATGTTTACCTGATTATTGAAACCATTTGCTGTTGTTATGACAACTCTGAGGAGAACTATTATGACAAACATTTGGGAGTATTTAGGACAACATTCATTCATTCTTCCGGGTTAATGACTGCCATCCACGCTGTTGGGAGCACCCTACTAAATTTTCTGTCTCTTCTGCTTTCACTGGGGGATCTTAAGTTTGCTGTATGCAATGTGGAAGTATCGCCAACAGTTGAAGTTTGTTTTAGTTCATGCCCAGTAGTTAGGGTCCTTCAGTAGAGTGTGAAATGTTTTTACAGAGCCACCTCGCCTGTCCCAATGTAGTAAAACCTGTTCCCTACTCAAAGCAGTGCTTGCCCTGGTTGCTTTTTTTGACATGAATTTTCTCTGTGCTTTGGTAAATAATACCACCCAATGTTGGGAACTGGGTCAGGATTAAATTCCAGTTAAATGGCTAGTTTCATAACTAATGCTTCCACTTTATACATTTGATAACTTAAAAACAATTTTTTTCCAGTCAGTACAGCCTGTCTCCACAAAATTTTTCCATCGTAAGGCAAGCCCAAGACAGATACCTACTTTTATCTGTAAGCAAAATGGCAATCTCTGCTAACCCCCACAACGCACACGTCAGCCAGCAAAGACTTGCTTTTCCCCTGGGCTTTCTCTTTGATCTCTCACACTGCCCAACACGATGTGGCAGTGTGTGTGGTTTGTCTCTCAAGTCCCATCCAGTTCATTGAAAAGTTCTGCTTTGACATGCCAAGTTGCAGCTTTTACAGGTTTGTCATGTTCCGTTTGAATCCTGTCACTTAAGATATAAATCTTTATTCAATGTGCCAGCTTCAGCAGAAAATAAATGAACTTGGAATGCCACCTCACCCTCCATGCAGTAGGTCCTACCCTTGCAATTTGGGTGTGAACACTAAAGCTAGTACAATTGAAACATACAATTTGAAGTTAAAACTCCGGTGGCCTTTGATGTGTAATTGTAATTCTGCCTACTTTCTTCACATTGTGCCTTTCCAACACCTCTATTTCAAGGATCAAGGTCCAAGTCACCTTCAAAGTTACCTACCCGGATGAAGAATTAGTGTCATCAGGGTGAAAGTATGGTAGTACTCGCTAACATGCGAGAAAGCCATGTTATTTAATTAAGCCATTTTATTTAATATTAAAAGTTTGCTATAGCACCAATTCAAATTTCAAGTATTTGCAAATTTCCCAAACTAATCCATTTGTTAAAGGGTCTGGGAAATACCATTCCACTTCCCTAACATTTATGGGATCTTACCCTTTTCGTGCCCCCAAAATTGTGTAGTGATTACCCTGTTTCTCTCTACAAATAAAGCTTCCATTCTTTTTGCTATAGTCCTAAAGGTCTGAATGATATTCCATCCTGTTCACTTTTCTCCTAGAGCTGTATTTATCTGTATTTCCCCTGCCCCCCAGTATACAAATAGGACTTTAATCTCATTCTTTAAAAACTTGATACTATTCACTTAGTTTGCTTTCAAGTTCATATTCCTTATTCATTGTTCTTCAGCCAATTTTTTTATTTGGTTATATTTTCTGAAAATGGATTGCCTGATTTTGCTTCTGCAAAATGTGCTCTTTCACTGTGTTTCAATGCGCACTTCCTAACATAAATTATAAAGCAAGCATACTTTATCTGTGGACGCTAATCGGCAACTCAGTCTTTGCAGTAGCAAAGTAGACAAACTGTCTCCCAAGTCCCATCCAGTGCACTGGAAAGTTCTGCATTGACATGCCATGTGCTATTGGGAAATTATTAAGATCTCTAGAGTAAACTAGGGAAATAACCTGTTAAAAACTCAATTGTAGATATCTGTTTACTCCTGCTATAGACGGCTTGAATAAAGCGTTAATGGGCAACGGCCTGAAAGTTTCTGATAGTTATTTTAAGGCTAATAATGAGACCCTCAGCTTGACTTTTGAGCTGCAATAAGGGAAATGTACTCCTTCAAAATTATAACTACATAATATAGAAGTAGCGTTTGGTTTTTACGAAATTTTTTTTTTCAGATTTTGATAACATATGTGCTTGTTAGAAGACAAATTATATGGCAGTAAAAGTCACCTTTACATAAGACAATAACAAAGGACTCTTATTGAATGCTGAAACACTATGCTATATTTACCAAACCATATAGCAGAAATGAAAGTTATTTTACATAAGATAAGAAATTGAGCCCTAAAGAAGTAAAGTAACTTGCCCAAGGACTCAGCTCCAGAATAAACAGAGATCTCCTGATTCAGCAAAATGTAGAGGGCTCTTCCCACCTGCTGTCTCCCTTCTAGACTGGGGATATCAGTAATCAGTTTCCCATAGCAGCTCTCCCTTACAGAAAGCGCTCATGCGGAACTTCATTTTGTCCTGTGTGTGGAACAATACAGATTGATTTGTTTTTCTTTTCAAATCTCTTTCATGAGATGATGGATCTGCACATTAGAAAGTATTGACTCTGAACATTTTGTCAAAACCGAAAACTTTGTGGCAAAGATAAGCAGCCAAAGAGCTCCTAAAGTCTTTATCTGTCACAAATCTCTTGTAAATAGCCCTTATATAACTGCATTTTTCAAAGGGAGAATCCATCCTCGGCCCAATCAAGGCAGCTGCTTCTCAGTGCCCATTGGTGTCCTCTTCTACCACGAAAGTCAGTGTTCATTGGCAAGCTCTGCCTTGCTCTTGTTCCTTACACTAATAATTTAACAATCAACTACAATGTTGGAAAACCCCCATAAAGATTTCAATTTTACAGAAAGTACCCAAAATTCCACTAGTTTTGCATCACAAAGTAGTAGCTGAAGTAAAGGTTTGAGTAAAACACTGTGTGTGTGGTTTTTGTGGGTGGTTGCAGTTCAGAACGACGTTTGGGCCTCATCAATTATCTGACGGGAGAGAGTATGATGGCAATTTGTAATAAGATGATAATAAGTATCATAACAAACATTTTTTCCATCTTTGGTATCATATGCCACATTAAGCAACTCTTACAACCTAAAGGCCAATTCAGAAGCATAACAAGCCGTCAAGTCTGGTACCAAAAAAACCTACCAAAATCGAGAAAATAAAAAGGTAGACCGCTGGTGGGTTTTTACATTTGGTCAACTCAGACAATGCCATGGACTCCCCAGCTCCTGGTATTTTAAACTCATTTGGTAAAACAAATCTCTAGCTTACTGGGGCATGACGTTAAAAAAAAAAATTACCAAAGGAACATCTTAAAATACTTTAAGGTCATGACAAACCAGTGTGAAAGAGAATCCTAACACCTAGAAGCGAAACTGCATCATCCACCCAGCTTGGAGAGAAAAAAGAAAGCTAAAAACCACCATAGAATAAGAATGCAGTTTGAGAAAACCCCTAAGGTGAATTCTGAACAACAACACAAAGTCCAACAACATAAGTGCATACTGTATGCAAGAGCCACTAATGGAAAGAGTTTGCCAGCACTTTTTATAAAGGCCTCACCATAGATGGTTGGTCCCAGGTAAATGGAACTTCAGACAATCCAAGAATTTAACCTGTTTGCTCCTGAACATGAGTCATATACTTGTGACCTATGGTATCTCATAAAATCTTGTGAGATGCTTTTTGTAAAAGTTCTCTGCAGAAAAACAGCTAAGGTTTGGTATAAACTGGGACAAGAAGACCTGAACCACACAAGGCTTAGGTGCTAGGTCTATGTCAGAGCCCACGTAGCAACATGGTGGAATAGAAAGAACATGGACCTTGAGGTGGTAAGAATTCTGATACCATTTTTATTACTGAAATGTTATAACTTGGAGCAAGTTTCTGATGATTTTAATGTGCAGTTCCCCCTTTCTCAAGAGTAGAGATGCTACCACATACTTCTCTGGGCAGTAATGGGCATCAAGAAAGATAATCTTACCAAGAGTCTGGCATAACCTGATACATTACTTCCCATTCCTTTGCAACATAACCATTTCCTTTTTCTTAAACCTATTCACAATCTCAGCTAACTACTGCATGACCAAAAGCTTCTATTTCCACTAAATGGGTCTGATGTTATTACTGTGGGATCCTAAATCTACATGTCTTAACATGACATACTGAGGCCACATCCAGTCATTTAAAAAACTTTTATCTTTATATCCAAATTATGTTGTAACTATCAGTTTGAACTGAAGACATGCATAAAGAAACCTCTCATACAGCTTATGACCTCCAGATAACTATTCTCATATTTTTTAGCAGTGCTGCATTCAAATCTGACTTCTTTTTTAAAAATAAATCTTGGGCCGGGCACAGCGGCTCACACCCATAATCCCAACAATTTGGGAGGCCGAAGGGGATGGATCACCTGAGATCAGGAGTTCGAGACCAGCCTGGCTAACATGGCAAAATCCCGTCACCACTAAAAATACAAAAATTAGTCAGGTGTAGTGGCTCACTCCTTTAGTCCCAGCTACTTGGGAGGCTGAGGCAGGAGAATTGCTTGAACCCAGGAGGCAGAGGTTGCAGTTAGCCAAGATTGTGCCTCTGCACTCCTGCCTGGGCCACAGAGTGAGACTCCATCTCTAAATAAATAAATAAATCTCTCAGAAAAATGTTTTATCTTAGGAATGACAATGTGTTTCCTTAATTTCTGAAGTGCCTTCTTACATTCTCATTTAAACCTCCAAACCTTAAGTAGATATTATCCCTGGTGTCTGAATGGTCCTAAGTTGTACTATCTTTCATTTAACATTCAAATACAAATTCTATACCATATCTCACATAACTATAGAAGACCCAGAGCCTCCTTAATAATTTCTTTCTGAGAAGGAGCAGAGACCCCACATGGAGGCCCACGAGCCCCTCCGCAACCTGAGCATGAAAATAAAGGGAAAAAAATCTTGAATTTCTTCA